GGGATAGTGTGTGAATACAGGGTCAGTTACAGAACTGATTCCTGGTGGAGAGTTAGGGGATCGGTACGTGGGTCGCAGTGTGGTTGGTTGGACTGGTGACCATGCTGGTCTCCATGGGTGTATGTTCGAACCTGCGTCCTCACTGTCCGTTAGGATGTTCTGGAGCGCCTGAACAAGCAGCTGTATGGATTAGTAAACAAGTACAACGCCCAGAGCTTCCAGAGCCAGCAGAGGGAGCTGCAGCTGGGGCAGCTGAGGGAGAAGCTGCACACCCTCGACCTGCACTCCGCCCCCGGCCCGGCTCTGCTGCAGGACATACAGGTGACCACTGGAGGGCGCTCTGCACACAGCGGAGGACTGGGGGAGCAGCTCATGTGACAGGAAAAACAGTGCACACATGCAGTGTATAATAGGGAAACATAGAAGTCTCCCACTGCACAGCAGTCTGATTCACTCCAGGGTTTACTAGTTGCTGGGTCAATGCCGGAATCTAGAGAACTGTATTCCTACCTCATTTTAAATGAGGTTCCCTTCAGATATCCAGATACCTGTAATTCTGTTTTCTTTTCTGCTTTGTCCTTTCAGTGAACAATACAGCCCTGCAGCTGATTAAACTAGGGTGTGCTCCAAACTGCTGTGTACGTGCAGTCTGGTCTGTTACTTTGAATAAAGAAAAAAATAAGCACTGACTGGGAATCTGTTTTTCCTTCCTTGTGGGTTTTTTCCTCTTGGATCAGCGGGTTCGACAGCTGGAGAATAATATAGAGAAGATGAACATCAAGGTTGGGGCTGCAGAGAGGATCCAAGACATGTATGAGGACATAAAGGAGCACCTGCAGGGGGTGAGTGTGCTGCTGTCCCAGCACAGGGCACTGTGGTCACAGCACAGAGCACACTGGTCCCAGCACAGGGCACTGTGGTCACAGCACAGGGCACACTGGTCCCAGCACAGAGCACTGTAGTCCCAGCACAGAGCACACTGGCAACAGCACAGAGCACTGCAGTCCCAGAACAGAGCACACTGGTCCCAGCACAGAGCACACAGTAACCCTGAGGAAGTGATTGTGAAGCAGAGAGAGAGATATCCACCACAGTGAAGTATAGATTGATCAGGGACTGGGTGACTCCTGGGCATTGTCTCCTGGCTCATTCGGTCTGCCTCTCTCAGGAGCTACGGGGGCTGCCCCAGACCCTGGAGGAGCTGCGGGCGGTGATCTGCGCTCGAGACACGGAGCTGGACCATGTGGCACAGATCTCCCAGCACGCTGTCACCACCGTCGAGGTCACCAAGGTCAGGGGCTCCAGGGGGCTGCGCTCACTGGCGCTGGGAGCACGGGCGGGTCTTGCTGATGTCTTTTTGGCGGGGCTCAGGGATCTAGAGGGAGTGCATGTCAGACGGCAGTAACCCCTGTGCTCGTTCGTTTCGAATCTGCAGCAGCATCCAGCTCTGGAACATCGTCACCTCTTGCTTTCAGCACAAATGGAAGGAGAATCATTGTTGGTGTAATGAGTCTATTTAGTAACACTTAGGGCACTTAATAAATGACTGCATAAGATTATGAAATGCAGGGCAGTGAGACCCGCAGCTGTGAGAGTGGAATAGAGGGATTGCAGGTGTAACGCGTGCAGGCTGGATGCACTCTGCTGGACAGCGCAGCTGAAGGTGCTCCATGTGTCCTGCAGAGGGAGCTGTGGCTGCTGGAGCAGCAGTTCCTGCAGGAGCGACAGGCTCGGGAGCAGGAGCTGGCGGAGAGGAAGGGCACCAGCCCTGTGGGGGGCAAGGGGCAACCCGGCGATCCGGGGCAGAGGCAGGTGAGAGGGGGGCCGAGGGGCCCGAGAGCGGCCGGCAGACAGGTGCGCAGCCTGACTTTGCTGTTGCTCTCGCAGGACAGGAAAGGCGTGAAGGGAGGCCTCCCTGTGGGACCTGACCCCAGCGCTGCGTCCCGAGGTGAGGGCCGCGCGCTGGCGCACAGCTCCACACGGGAACGATCCCGCCCACACAAGCCCGGCAGTGTGCAGGGCCTGACTCAGACGGTCAAGCAGAGGGCTGCACCAGGAGAACTGGGACACGTCTGTTTCGAACACCAAAAGACAACAGAAAGCATCCCACCTCGTCCTTCGCCCTCGTTCAGTTGTGTCTCAGTGCAGATGAATCTGTGCAGTGTGTGTGTCTCAGTACAGTGCATCTCAGTGTGTGTGTCTCAGTACAGTGCTGTGTTTTTGCTCCAGGTGGGCAGCTGCCTGTTCCCCAGGCCCCCAGAGAGCTTAGTGCCCGTCTGGCCACTGACATCGAGAGCCTGCGGGAAGCTCTGAGCTGCACCGACCTGCAGGTACAGCCGATCCTGCCTGTCCTCTCCCCTTCTCCCTGCTGTGCACACAGTCCTCTGGCAACCAAAGCTTTCTTCACTGAATGAGTCAATTAACTAATCAGCTCGTCGATTCATGAAAAACATCCACTTGCGTGACACCAGCAGCCTCTAGACTGCACAGCCTGCCTCTCCCTGTGTGGGCAGGTGCTGGAGAGCCGCATCTTGAGCCAGCAGTCTCGGCAGGAGCACCTCCTGTCCTGGGTGCAGCAGTGCCAGGAGAAGGTGGAGGCCCACCGTGCCAGCTTGGCCAGTCTGGAGGTGCAGCACGCCCAGCTCAAGTTCAGCGCGGGGCCCAGCGCAGCGAGGTGGGTACAGAGCCGCAGGGGTGCTCGCTGGCCTCTCGTCTCGCTGGGACATGTGAACTGTGGCTCCTCCCCCTGCAGCTTCGAGCGGCTGAGGGCGGGGCTGGAGGCGGGGCTGGAGGGGCAGCGGGAGAGGTGTGGCCAGGGGGGCCCCCGGCTGGCTGTGGCCCAGGGGCTCCTGGAGGAGGCGGAGCAAGGCATCGACAACCTGCACTGCAAGCTGAGCTGCGTCGCCCTGCCCGGCAAGGTGAGGGCCGCGGCTCTACCGCCCTGTGCTGTCCAAACCAGCTGCATTGTGCTGCTGGGATACATCGCACTGTACCAGATACCACTGGGATGCATTTGAATGGACTTCTGTGTATAGAGTACTACTGCTTTACAGTGTGATGCATAAATCATACTACTGTATAGTGTATAGTATAGAATATAGTATTGATACTGTAAAACCATATTAAACTGTTTGCCTTTGCAATGCACTGTACTGAATGCAACTCTGATATTTTAACACCTCTAAAATGCTGTGCTAATGGACTCTGCACTGTATGGTACGGTAATTGTGAACCTGCGCCACAGGGCTCTGTGCTGTACACTAACGCCCTCTACAGGCCGCTCAGCCCTGCTTGTTCACCCCCTCCTCTCTGCCCACACCTCTCACCTCCCCCTCTGGCTCCCCTGCTCCAGGAGGCCCAGGAAGATGCCGGTCTCGATGCCCAGCAGAAGCTGCAGCAGCTCCATGCCAAGCTGATGGCGCTGCAGGACCTTGTGGGCACCACAGCGATGCCAGGCAGCCAGGACACTGATAAGGTGCCGACCGCCCTGCTGAAGTCTAGCCCCCCCCAGAGCAGTCTGGGGTGTGTGAGGGACTGAAGCACTTACTCCTGCCCCCTCTGACTCCCTCAGCTGTGGGCGTTCCTGGAGCACAGCACCCTGGAGGAGCCCAGGACCTGCAGGCTACCCCTCCACGCGCTGTGCAGCTCCCTGTCCGAGGGTAGGGCTGCGTCCGCGGGGTCCGCGGGGTCCGAGGGCCGGTGGGCCGGTGGGCAGGGTTCCGCCACTGTGTGCTGACCTCCCGGCCCGCTGGACCTCTCAGACTCGTTCCAGTTCCTGAGCCCCGAGGAGGACTGCTCCCTGTCCCGCGACGAGATCAAGCGGCGGGGCAGGCAGCTCCTGGAGGAGCACAACCCGGCCAAGAAGAAGCCGCAGAAAGGGGCTCAGAAGAGGTAGAGGGGAGGGAGGAGTGAAGCCAAGACTCCCTCCAGGAATAAGCAATAAACAGAGGCGTTAACACCCTGCTCCG